AGCCTTGTGTGATTTGATGTGAACAACTTTAGCTAGTCACAAAGCACGTGGAACAGATAATGAAAGCATTGCAACATGGGTGTGAGTTGTATAGGTCCCATTATTGTTTTAGGATTTGTCAGACTTTTCTGTTTCTCAGAGCTTAGCCCCTGTCTTTGCTAACATAAAGAAAATGTCTGGGATTCTCTTTTTCATTGCCACCCCGTTTAGAGCATGCCTAGTAAAGGACATTTAAAAAAGTCATTTTAATCCTTCACAATCTGCAAATAGGAATGGGAATTTGCAACACAGGAGAGTTTTACTGATTTAAGTGTAGCTAATTCACCGACTAATTCACAGACTAAATCGTATCTCAATTGCAGGTTCTTATCCCAGTATTTGCCCTTGGACGTGCCCAGGAGCTTTGCATTTTACTGGAAACTTTCTGGTGAGTGCAGACTATTCAGTGCGTGTTCCTCTTTTGTGTCTTCATGCGGTCCTGACAGGTTTCTATGATGCTTTCGTATCTGTTTGGTACAAATATTCTTTTTAGTTTTCCTCTTCGTGTTGGCACACAGTGGCGGTTGCAGAACTGTTTCTTTCCATGTATCACTTATTCCCAATGCTTCTGATTCTAAGCAGTAAATTAAACGTCTTTACAAGGATCATTCCCTGCTCTGTCCCCAAACACTTGGTACCAACTGTCCTTCAAATAATTTGATTGCAGCTTTGCCACATTGTAAAACTGTTTTTATGGGAGGGAGATGGGATGAACAAGTGAAGTATTAAACTTTCTTATAAGCATTGTGTGGAAATGGGTTAAAGGTGACTCCACGGTAAGTTAATGCCCAGTGATACAGCATTGTCCTGATACTGACTTAATTTGTTGGGAGTATGTTCTGTGCAGAAATCTTTGGTGGCTGTGTGGGTTTATGGACTTAAGCACGAAGAGCCAAGATTCTAATTTGGTTCTCATGGATCTGGATCTCTTCTTTCTGCAGGGAAAGAATGAATTTAAAGGCTCCAATTTATTTTTCCACGGGACTGACAGAGAAGGCTAACCATTATTACAAGCTCTTCATCACGTGGACTAATCAGAAAATTCGGAAAACATTTGTGCAGAGGAACATGTTTGAGTTCAAGCACATCAAAGCATTTGATCGGGCCTTCGCAGATAACCCAGGACCAATGGTAGGTGGGCAGTAATGAGGTGGTAGAGCAGATCTGTGGTGTCAGGGAGCTGTTTTTATACTGCTCTGTTACTGGTTTAGGCAAACCAAGCAATCTACAAAAGCCTAAGCATCTTCTACCCCGTTAATACAATAAAATAGCAAAAAGCTGTGTTGGAGCCTTGTTGTAGTAAGTGTGCTATAATGGGTATTAGTGAGTTCTCTCTGCAGTTCTAGGATATTTATATAAGTAATGGCATTTTTTTTGTTTTTTATTTTTTTAAAAAGGCAACTTTTCTGTGGTGATTCATGACGCATCTTTGAATTCCAGGTTGTGTTTGCAACTCCTGGTATGCTTCATGCAGGACAGTCCCTTCAGATCTTCAGGAAATGGGCAGGGAACGAAAAGAATATGGTAAGAAATTCAGTTTAACATGTAAGGTTTTGCGTTAATGTCTTATATAAGATGTTAAGAACAGAAATATCAGCATTGTTTTTCTGGTTTCCTTCTCAGGTCATTATGCCAGGCTACTGTGTGCAGGGAACTGTGGGCCATAAGATTCTGAGTGGACAGCGCAAGCTGGAAATGGAGGGAAGACAAATAGTAAGTTTTGTTTCCAAGGAGGCAGATCACTGGGGAAAGCTTTTAGGAACTTGAGGTGGTAGTTAGACAGCAGATACTTGTAATGGGAACATGCTGCATGCAACATGGGAAATACCTGAGTAACATTTTGATCAGAGTGGAACTAGGATTTCTTCTCTTTGTTCTTCCTACCACTTTATTGCTTCAGAATTCACTGGCCTCAACATTTTGTCAGGGGAGTATTTATAGTAGGCTTGATTAGTCAGATAGATGGCAATGATACGCTTTCATGCAGAAGGGGATTTTGAAACTGATCCCAAGTGTACTTCAGTATTGATTTCTTTTGGCAAATGTGCAACAAGTGTTTTGCTTTGGAACTCTGCAGTTTAGCTTTATAATTTATTGAGAACTTTTCTGTATGGTATTCAGGCTGCTGATAAGCAGGTTTCTCTCCAACATAATTTCCCAGTGCAGCTGATCTGCTTCCTTCTTTAAAATAAATATGGTCTGTGTCTGTTCATGTGGGGTATACGAGCTGTGACAAGCCAAAGTGGTTGCTGATTCTCAAAGCTTGTGCTTCCCACCTCCTTCTCTTGCAGCTCGAGGTAAAGATGCAGGTGGAGTACATGTCCTTCAGCGCCCATGCAGATGCCAAGGGAATAATGCAGCTGATTCGCCAGGCTGAGCCACGGAATGTTCTGCTGGTCCATGGTGAAGCAAAGAAAATGGAGTTTCTGAAGCAGAAAATAGAACAGGAATTTCGTACGTACAGCGTTGGTACTGAAAAGAGTAGAAAGAAGAAGAACAAGAGCTTTAAATTCCCATAATTAACCCAAGGGACCTCAGCAGAGTTAGGAATAGCGCAGTGTACAGCACAGTCTGGGATGGGAAATGCTGCTACAGCCCTTCTGACGTTGTTTGTTTACATTGCAGATGTCAGCTGTTACATGCCTGCAAACGGAGAGACCACGACAATATTCACCAATCCAAGCATTCCAGTAGACATATCCCTGGGACTCCTGAAGAGAGAAACAGCGATAGGTAACACATTTTCGGCCAGGAATTCCAGCTTTCGTGCCCTGCCACTGCACTGCAGTGTGTTTGTATAGTACTGTGTTAGGTGGAAATGGTGATGCAGGAGCAGTGGTGATTAACAGCAGTGCTTCTTTGTAAGAATATTTTACCAGTGCTTGGTGGTTGAGAAGGGCTTTCTGGGAAATGAAAGGGCTGCTATGCTGTGCACGTATGTAAAAAACGCCCAGAAAAAAAAACAAAAAAAAAAACAGCACAAAACTAATGGAACTGCCTTGTTTGCTGTTTGTTCATTTGCTATGAAAACAAAGTCCAGGTATGCTTTTAGTAGCTAGGTCTGTGAAAACTGGAATTACTTTCATAAATCCAGTGGAAAAAAAATCTTAAGGCCTCTCTTATCAGGAAGGGATATGGGGAGTGGGAGAAGCAGCTGATCTGTATTACTGGACGTTGTTTCTTACCTCTATCTGGAGCACTGACAGTGATGTAAGCACCGTGTGCTTTGTTTTAAGGGACAGGAGAACGAAGATGTGAAATCTTAGTCTGTGAACCCCAGCAGGGACGTGGAGATCTGATCCATTAAGTCCCATAGCAGTTGTCTAAAACGTGAAAAGCAAGCACAAATGATTAACCTTGTTGTCTTTCTCTTCCATTGGCCTTGGTTTAGGGCTCTTACCAGATGTCAAGAAGCCAAAGCTCATGCATGGCACATTAATTATGAAGGATAATGTAAGTAACATGGACCACAGAGGGAGATATAAAACCACAGCATGCACAGAGAAATATCTGACAGTGGATTTGTGCTCTTCCTCTGCAGAGCTTCCGGCTGGTTTCTTCCGAGCAGGCTCTGAAGGAGCTGGGTCTTGCAGAACATCAGCTGCGTTTCACCTGCCGCGTTCACATTCAGGATCCACGGAAAGAACATGAGACAGTGCTTCGTGTATATAACCATCTCAAAGGGTAAGGCCCTTCTTCGCTGTGCTTGGCTTTTTTTCCCCTAGGGATCAATGATTTTATCATTCTTAACAGGCAGAATGAGAGCGTCCTTCTTTCTGCCCTGTCAGCTGTGCCATATAGAGTTAAGGGAGAGTTTTTTTGCAGCCCAGAAGCCTTAACTGCTGTAGATTTCAGCCTGTTTAATATATATATAATATAACCAGAACAGAGGTTACCTGTCAGTAGCAGAGGTGGGTAATCAGCATATGCACTCATGGTCTTTGCCAAACTAGTGCAGGCCGCCGGAAATGTTTGTTCCTGGTGATTTGCTGCTGTCACTGCTGCTTCTCTAGCTGGAGTTAGCCCTGCTTTTGCAGGGAGACCAGTAAGCACAGGATCAAGACAGCTAAATTAGCCCCTTCTGTCTTGTTTGGGCGGGGGGTGCTGCTCAGAACTGCAGCTAAAAGCAGTAACACCATGCTGCTTTGGGGGATTTAACACACAGGGGTGACCCATCCTTCAGCGTGTGTGCATGTCCCCTCCAAAATAAATGGAAACCCTTTTATCTTACCAGGGTCCTGAAGGATTACTCTGTGCAGCATCTCCCTGACGGTTCGATAACAGTCGAGTCCATTCTTATCCAAGCTACAGCACACTCTGAGGATCAAGGAACCAAAGTTCTGCTCGTATCCTGGACGTACCAGGTAGGAACACCCACGAACACACTTTTCCAGCGACTCTGATTAGTCTTAATGTCTTACAGGCCAAAACTGGCCTAAAAGGTAGGTTGCTACTGCAAAGGTAGTGCTGTGCAGTGTGTGGGTGTGTTATAATGCAGGTATAAAATGTAAACAACAGGCAGAAAGCCAGCTAGCACTGATTTGTGGTAAGATTAGACATAGTGTTTTCTCCAAAAGTAGAATTTCTATGGCTGAATTTTAAGTGCTTTCAGTGGGTCTTTATTCTTTGCTTTCATGAAAAATTTATTCTGAAAAGAGATCTCAAAGAGGTTTTCTTTGACGAGGGGAGATTTTACAGTGATAAGTTTGAAAGAACGCCTCGAAATGCATTTCCATTTTCAAACACTGATGTTGCTGGGTCCAGAAATTATTTTAGTGTATTTCTAGGTAGCAGATTCTAATTTATTGCCCCAGATAGGAAAGAGTCAACTGGAAGATGTCTTTCATCCTGTTTTTTCTTTCCTTTAGGATGAAGAACTAGGCAGCTACCTCACATCCCTTCTGAAAAAGGGACTGCCCCAGAGTACATCCTGAGCAACAGAGCAGCAGGCAGAGTGGTGCTTCAGAGAAATTTAGATTTTATTTTGTTTACATTATCAAATGTTTTTCTGGTTTTGTTTTAATAAAGGAATTACAGTGATTGTTCATAGCTGCAGTGAGTGTGTACAGTGCTCATCAGTGCTGCAGTCCTTCCCTGAGAAACCTGTCCCAGACGTCGCTGCAGCCTCTTTCGGAGTCCTGAGGAACAAGCTTCGTGCTGCTTACACAGTAAGGTAAGAGAGATTCAGCATTCTTTACTCCTACAGCTCGTGTTCTTTAAAACCTCAGCAATGCTGCTCCCACTGGGATCACAAAAATAAGTGGAAACAACAGCTATGCACTGACCCCGCTCCTGCACTCAACTAAATCCTGGACTGTGTACACAGGACAAAACAGCTCCCTCAGCTTGCAGGTTTGTGGGCAGGGAGTCCCTGATGTGCCACACAGGGTTATCATCAGGCAGCCCTACACCTCCCTGATAGGGGAATAATACAAACCCAGAACTTGAGTAGGCCTGAGAGGTGAACAAATGGAGCTTTCAGAGCTTCACAACTGCAATGCAAAGCACAAGTTTAATGTAGACAAGAGTAATAAAGCTCTAAATGTGCTTTTTACCAAGCAGCTTTACTTTCATTGAGGGAAGTATGGATAATAATGGCTGCTAGGCCTTAAAGAAAACTGCACTTCCTAGCTGCAGTCTAATAAATTCTCCTCCTCTGCCAATACCATGAACTTTGTACTTAGAGAACTTCCCTTCGTGCTGCGAAGTTCTTCCAAGCCTATGAATGGGACAAAAATAATAGTCTCTCATGAAAAATACAAGATAATTTATCAAAATGCTCAAGAGCAAGGATTTAGTAGCATTCTTACCAAGCCTTGCCAAGCAGATGAATACAAAAATCATTATGGGAGATAATTTAAAAGTTTGAGCAGGTTTTCTTGATATTTTAAAAAGTTCTCCAAGACGAGCAAAATCCAGAGAGGGAGAGGCCTTGCTCTAGTTCAGTTGTTGCTGCATGTTGATGGGCGGTGGCTGGCCCACCACTAACAGGTGTGCGTGGCAATAAGCAAAGCCAAGCCAGCCTTAGTGTAACAAAGGTAATATTGCACACGCAAAGCAATCAATGACAAAGCTCTAACCCTATTACAACATTACACCATCAGAGACCACTCTCCTTGATGCCATTCCGCCACACCAACCCTACTCCCTACCTCTTTTGAGGTCTGTGCCATTTCTTATTCCACATCCAGCAGCGCAGCGTAAGTTGGCAACCCAAGCTGTGCAGTGTGCCAGGGCACTGTGCGACTTCGTGTGCATTTTGCATTGCTGAGGTTAAGCACACTGCTGTGAAACAAGGCCCAGAACCATTTCCATTCCACTCATATCTGCTCAGAAGTCTTGTGTGCCTGTAGGCCTGTAACGCATACGTACTGTGGTAATGTCTGGGCATAGCATGGGAAGGAACAGAGCAGTGAGTCTGCGTAGCTGTTACCAAAATTGCATCCTTTCAAGTCAACCATTGGCTGTTGGGCCAGGCCGGTGGCTTTCTGGTGACTGATAACCCCCAGATGATGAATTCTTTCCAGTCATGATGAAGTCTCATCCTTCACAGGGTGGAAAACTGCTGTTCTCTGAAGTTGGGTGATGCTGTTGAGAAAGGGAGAGAGGTGAGGTGTATCATTTCACAATACAACACAATCACTTTAAAAAAAACAAAAAGGTAAGAAAAAAGCTTTGACCTTTAACCAGAATTGCATGGCATAAGGAGTTTGGCCAGCTCCTGTGTTAACTTTCCTCATCGAGTTTTTAGGGAGAGAGGAGCCTGTTTACCAGTGGTCCTGCACGGGCTTCGCTGCTAAATACTTGTCTATCATCTTCTAAAATTGTGTTAAGAGAGGTCCTGCCTGACTCTACAGGCACGTGATGCTAGAAACCCTGTCCTCAAACACTCGGGAAGCCAATCAACTTATTCACAAGAAGGGAAGAAGAGGCCCTTATTTGGCTGTGGAATGTAGGCATTTGTGAACACAGCTGACTGCAGTGTGCAGCCAGGGCGAAATCACAGGATCCCTCCAAAAAAGGGAAAAGCCAAGGAGGCCTGCAGGAACCCTCTCAGCTTTCAGGGTTAGCACCAGGCAGGAGGCTGGTTTCCTTTATGTAACCATTTCCCTGTGTTCTACCAACCCCAAAGCGAAACAAAAGGAGGCCCCAACTCCAACATACACGACCACAGTACGTCTCGCCACATCCAGTCTAGGACTACAGGCAAACACAGCTCCTCTCAGTACTGTCCTAGCCAGATAATAAAAACACAGCTGCGAGGCACTTCCCTCCAGTGCTGCCCTGACAGAATGGCAGGTTTCACAGGTTTGGCTTGAAAACAATTGGAAAGACAAATGCTCTACTTACCTTGGGTAGGTCAGTTGACTGCAGTTCTGGGGTTTTTATTTCCCTGTGTCTCGTGCAGTTTGTAAACGTAGGAGTACTCGCCCAGTTTCTGGTCGTAGATGGTGTACACCATTTTAGACCTGAATCTGAGCCTGAAGTTGAAGCGCCAGTGCTTGCTGGAGGAGGTGAAGTAGTACAGGAAGGGGTTGAGGCAGCAGTTGAAACTCACCAGGGCTAAGGTGACCCGCCGCATTTTGTAGATCAGGCTGGTGAGCGCCTCGTTCTGGATGAGCTGGATTCTCATCAAGAAGTGGAACAAATGGGTGAGGTGATACGGGAGGAAGCACAAAATACAAATGAACAGGATGATGTAGATTGTCTTCAGCGCCTTCCTTTTGCGAATGCTGTGCTTGATCCGGGAGATCCTCCTCGCGATGAGGGGGTAGCAGATCAGAATGATGGAAAAGGGGATCACGAAACCAAAAACTAAGGCCAGGATGTTGTAAGGCACCAGCCGCTGAGTCCAGCTGCTGGTCGCGAAGTTCTCAAAGCACGCTGTCATGTTGCCCGCAACCCTGTTGTGCAGGGGCCCGCCGAGGACGAGCGGCACCATGATGCTCACGGCCACGAGCCAGAGGACTGTGACCACCACCACGTAGTGGGTGGCCTTGATCTGGATGTAGGTGAAGGGGTGCAGCACCGCCACGTACCGATCGATGCAGATGCAGGTGAAAAAGGCGATGCTTAGGCAGATGTTGATGTAGTACAACGTGCCCGTCACCCTACAAGCCACATCGCCAAAGATCCAGTTGTTCCGATGCAGGTGGTAATTAATTTTAAAAGGCAGCACACAAACAAACAAGGTGTCTACCAGGGCTAGGTTAATCATGTATATGTAGGAAGGAGAGGTGTGCTTCACTTTGTAAGAGAGGAGGTACAGAGCTAAGACATTTTCTACCAGTCCCAGCACGAACACAACACTGTAGATGACAACAAACAAGGGATACTGGAAGTCTGCTTCCAAGCTGAATTCGGAGCTGCTGTTGCCAGCTGTCTCATTGGAGATTCCTTCAGTCCAGGTAATATCTGCCATGATTTCTGTTGGAGAAGGGGCGTAAGAATATCCAACACCAGATAAAATCTTAAGCCATCCCTTACCTCACGAGGCTCTTGAGTTTGAGGCTTTATTTCATCTCACATGGTTAAGCAATAACTCTAATCAAAGCAGAGATGGTGAGGCTGGGGAAATCTTGGTTTTAAGCAGCTGTGCTTGGTGAAGTCAGATGGAAAGTGGTGTTGCTGAAAGAAAGAATATTTTTAAGAAACATTAGCATTTAAAATTACAAAGCAGCCCAATTATTTACTGGCATTTAAAATCAGCAGAAGATGGCAATGCTGAATTAACAGAAAGGAGCCCCTGCCAGGTTTGTGTGTGTGTTACCAGTAGGGTGCCTCTCAGCCAGGTCACTCGCATCACAAACCCATGACCTCTACTCCAGCAGTGTTTTTTTTGTCATGTATTTAAAAATTATCTGAGCAACTAATCAAGAGATACACAACTTAATAGAAGCCCTTAAAGGGAGTGGAAAAAATTAATCCCAGCTACAATACACAAGAAGTGTCTAAGGGTGAGCCATTAAAGATGAACACAAAGGTCGTTAGGTACTTTCCAAAGGAAATGCTGAAATTGCACTTCCTCCCAATACTTGTTTATGTGCAGTCAGAAGCACCAGACATCGTAACTGGAAGGTTAGAAAGGCAAAAAACAGTTTCACTTCAGGTAGGCAACCCTGTGCATCTTCCTCCATGGTCTTTCACCAAATAGAAAGGGATTTGCATACAAAGGAAGATTAATATAAAGCCAGGCAAACGCTAAGCCACCACATCAGGCACAGAACTTGGAACAGCTTTTTTCTCAGTTTTGCCAGAGCAAAAGCCCCCAGACATCTACCTTTTATAGGTTCAAAGGAAAGTATTGCAACTGGGGAAAGATAAGGCAGAGGCCTGTAAAGTGGGCAGAGGGGCCCGACTGACTGCTTCTCACAAGACGAGGACAGCCCTAGGTGTTATCAGCTAGCAACTCCAAAACAAACAGGACTTTTTTTTCCAACTAGCACCTGCTGGCGTTATGGAGATACGTCCCAAGATCCTCTAGAAGCCAGGCAAAATGAGTTTTTGCATGCTTTGTACTGACCAAGCACTGGAGGATGGCAAGATCAGATTGCAGAAGGACTGCCAAAACCCAAAGCCGCTCGCATCCCCTGCAGAGCAGTCACACAGCCTCACAAAGAACGTGTTTGCACAGTGATACAGCGCTAATACTGCTTCCTTTCAGCATCTGTACCCTCACTAAATCCCCTAAATAGGATCCTGCCTTATGTGCTGGTCAGCAACTCTGATACCTCAGCTGCACGGAAGTAACAGGGAAGCCTGTATGAAAACGCCCGTACCCCCCAGTACCCACTGCACCTGGACGCAGCCCATCAGGTAACAAGCACCCATTTGAGCTTCACTGCACTAGAAGTCAGGAAAAGGGAAAGAAAGAGGGGGAGAAGAAAATCACTGACAAAATACTTCACAAGTTGGTCTTCTACCCATTGCTAAACAAGTAGGCACTGCAGGACACCACCCTGCACATCTGTCTGGTTGAAAATATTTCCCATGAGAGAGGTAACAGATGTGACACAGTCTCAGAGTACACATGCGTTTTGCAGGCATGGAGCCAATTTAATCTCTTACAGCGCTGTACCACTTCCTTATCTACAATTTTAAAAACCAGGAGTCTGACCAAATTCCTATGCCAACTTTGCTTCACCTGAAATAAATTATTTTTTTTTCCCTGTTTTACTTCTGGTATTTCTTCTAGACAACCCAGAAGCACCTCTGCTCCTCTACAAAGTTACTTGATTTACAGAAATACAGCAAAGCATACATGAAAGTTTACACTGGATTTTGGGTGCATTGCCTTGACTATTATTCTTATAAAAACAAAGCTTTTCTTCCCCCTCAACTCTGAGTCAAGTACAGTTTTTCTGAGTTTCACTTTAAAGTGTCACTGCCAAACAAACAGAAAGACAGAACTACCCCTGTATTATGTGGCCAAACCCAATCAACTGAAAACAATTGGTAATACAACAACAAAAGGAAAATAAAATACAGAACACCCCTGATCATAACACTCAAGTATTAACGATGGATGCTAAAGAACTGATTCAGCATTCCAGTTTGTACAGACATATCTACGGACTGCATTTTACGATGTTAAATTCAATTAGAAGTCTTCTGGATTTTTTGTAACAGTTGCTCTGGGATTTAGGGAAAAAAAGAAGCAAAAAACACTGCTGTTCTTTGTGCTAACTGCAGGGCCATCCACTGACCACCACCTCCAGCCTGCTGCCTGGAGGCTGTGCCTGGGTTGCTCAGTAAACCGGCTTAGATAAATAAGCCCATGGGCACAACAGGTTTTTAACAGAACCAAAAGATGGGAAACATTTGCAGAAAACTCAACAGCAGGTACTTTTGTTCTGCAGCTTAAAAAAATGCCGTGGTGCCTGAGCCTGCAGTAGGAGGCAGCTCGCCTAACACCTGAAACGGCAGCGGGTGCTGCCTGCTTCAGCCTTCTGCCCTGTAAAGCCTCACAATCAATTTAACTGCGAAGGCAACTTACCAGAGCTCAGCTCAGGCCATCGTCTCTCGTGCAAAAGCTGCAGTTGAGTGAAGCTTCTCCAGAATCGCAGCTCCGAGGTCACCGCGCAGCTCTTCGGTGTAATTTTAACACCGGAGCAACCTGCCCTGCCCGGCACACGGCAGAGCTGCAGAGAGAAACCACAGGAAGCGCTGATGAGAAGCTGTCGCTGACATCCCGGGCAGAGTCATCCCTCCAGCAAAGCGTTCCCACACACAGCGGGGCTGAGGGCACAGCACGGGGCCAGCACTGGTGTGTGCTGGGGTTCTCCACCTACCTGCTGGAGGGGGATTTAGGGCCCCAAGCTACCCCTAAAGCCACCCCCTGTCACCCCCTGCCCCCCTGGAGCAGGTACCAGAGCTGCAGCCCAGGCGAGGCCCTGACGCAGGCCGGTGGCTGCGCTCTCACTTCCCCTCGCTGGGAAGAAGAACAAGAGTGAGTTGTCATTCCCTTTCAGGGAAACTGGGGTCTGAAAACGTGGGCACACGTCAGGGTTTGGAGCGCAGCTGGGCGAGCTCCACGGCTTGCGGTGAGAAGCCCTGCGGCACGTTACCCCACCCCGACCCCTGGCGAGGCCTTACCAGAACGGGCACACCAGCAGCAGCCTCAGCTCTCTGTGCCAGAGACCCCGGATTTCCCAAAGATGCCAGAACTTCGGAGGCTCGGTCCCTGAGCAAATAAATCAGCAAAGAGTCAGCATCCTCCACAGGGAGGGAGTGAAAACTGCATGGAGGCTCCGTAATCTTTTGCTCGGTTGTCAGCATTCCTCCCTCCTTTATTTACCCAAGTGCAGGAGCCTGCATCACTTTGAATTGCCACACAAAGAAACTGTCCTCTTACCACTAATAGGGCCGTCTGCTCTGACAAACTGCTCGGCTTTCTCTAGTTCTCCTCTCGTGGATGAAGCAGAGACTAATTATGGTGGTGCCAGGCATCCGAGCTGCGCGTTGCTTCCACTGCAGGGCAGTGTTTAAATCAGGTATCGTTTCTTCTGGAAACTTCACAAGTCAAGACTTTCATCCTCTTTCCTGTAACCCACCACTCTGAGTCATTTTAGAACCCAAACAGACAGAATTCTGGTGTCATTCACGATTAAAAAAACCCACAAAGCACATTACCCAACGCACATTTTGTTGCTTGGGCACAAAAAAAAAAAAAAAAACCAAAAAACACCCAAACGCAACAAAAGCAAAGAACAAACAGAAAAGGACACGGCCCACTCACAAACCAGCTCCCTCTGCCCCTGCCCTGCACGAGGCCCCACAGCCCGCAGGGCACCGCGGGATGCTCTGCACCAGCTGGGGAAGACCTGAGAATGGCAACCAGCAAACGGAGCCCAGCAGGGCTCCAGCAGCCACCTTCTGGCTACTGTTGGCCCCCGATGGGGCTGAGCCACCCCGATGAGCGCCCCAGGCCCTGCAGCCCCGGCTGTGACTATTTCCCTTGGTGAGACAGCTCCGTTCCTGCTAAAGACAAAACTGGCTTGAGGTGACCTCTGAAGCCCGTCACATCCGAACCGCACAGACGTGACTATGAGTGTAGCGGGGCGCTGTGAAAGCCGCCGTGGTTCAAGGAAAGAGTGACAGCTGAGGGGAGGAAACGGCTCGTACTTTCGGAGGTGGTTTCTGTAAGGCACTGCGTGAAGCAGCAGCCCTCGGCCCTTCCACCGTGCCGCTCAGAGGCAGGGTGACAGAGGTGAGGGGCAGAAAGGAAACGTGACGTCCGCCTCCATCCTCAGCCTGCATCCTCCCCGCACACACACCGCAGAAGAAAACAAATGACAGAGCAGCCCCGCTCCTTCTCCCACATGTTTGAGCGCTGGGCCTGCACCAAAATTACAGGGAAAAAAAAAAGACAAAAAAGCAGTTAACTGAAAGCAGAACCGAGTTGTCCTTCCTTTCCCCTTGGCAGTCTCGGAGAGTGAGAACAAACGATGGCAGATGGCTGCGGGCAGTCAGGGATGTTTATTGAGCCACCACCACACTGTGTGCCCTGCAGACCTCAGCGCCACCTCCACACCAACAGTCCTTCAGACACTTGTGTCCGACAGAGCTCCTACTCTCCTGGGGCCCTTGTTGTGTGCAAATCTGAGAAAAAAATGAAAGAATAAATAAAAACCATTGATTTAGGGAAAAACATGGCACGGGAAGCACTTCAAATCTGTGGTCTTTCCCTGCCTGGGCTCCCTCCACACTGCTGGGGAGGTGTTTGTGGGGATGTGCAGGGGGAAGGGGGACGGCAGGAAGGGTCACTGCTATGACAAATTAAGCAGCAGAGAAATGGGATGTCAGCCCCAGGGGGACGGGGGCATTTCTGCTCCCTTGGGCATCAGGCCTGCCTCCCACAAAGTCCCCGCCAGCCGTTCCCAGCCTGTCACCCACCGGCTTCGTTGTACTCCACGCATTTTAGGAAGAGTCCAGCCGGCGGAGCCATGGCGTGCGGCGGAAGAGCCCGTGCATCTCTTAGCTCCAGCAACTCCTTTATCTGGTGAGGCGTTAGCTTCCCCTGGCCAACTGCCACTAGAGCCCCAACCATCCTGCGGACCTGGAAAGACAGAACGTGGCTGAGAAGGTTCCTCTGCTGGGGTTCCTCAACTGTCCCCCCATGGGCAGCTGTTCCCAGCGCCACTGCTTTGCTCCAGATGGACGTTAAGGACACACGAAGGATGCTTTGGCCCTTCTTTTAGATGCCACTGATGGATCCCAATCACGGCACAGGATCCCAATCCCTGAGCACGCCCCAGCAGCTGTGGTCACCCCACAGGGGTGGATTTCTTTCCACTCTGAGCAGGGATCGCAGGGGCAGCTCGGGTCCTGTGCCTGCAGCGGGCGCTGCCACAGCATCTTCTGGGGACAAAGCTGGTGGCAGGGAAGGGAAACAACACGCAAAATGACTCTGCTTGATGTAATTCTTCCCTCCTGACAGCTGTGGGCATTGTAAAGAATGGGATGAGGGCCTGGAACACAACCTCCAGCACCGCTGCTCTGCCTGGGAGGGAAGCTCGCTCGCATCACACGTGGGAAGAGCTGAGCAGGGGCCGGCTGCTTTCAGAGCCAGCAGCAGCACCCACACGGCCGGCCGAGGCAGGAAGCTCACACATGCCTGCCGGGTTCACAGCTTCTTCACACATACGTAACTCTTTCCAGGTGGGGGGACCGTGGAGGGGCCCGTTTCTCTCTCAGAAAGCCAAAAATGTAAAAGAAGAAAAAAAAACAACACCCCGAGTGAGACAGCCCACCCGACGCCCCCAAGGCATCGAGGTGGGGTTCTGAACACCTCTGCATGTCCCAGCTTCCCTTCCCTGCAGCAGTTCCAAGCCTTGGGTTAGCACAAACTTGGCACCTGCTCACCTGCTGCCCGCACGCCCCTCTCATGGCAGTGTCCTCCTGGCTAAAAACCACCCCACGAGGACTCACTGTGCCAGGACTCGTGCCTGCCAGTGCCACCTGCACACCAGATGCTCGCTCCCCGTGACCGGCTCTGTCGCAGCCCCGTGTGCTTGTTCAGCCCTTTCGGGAACCGAAGGGATCTCTCCAAAGGCAGTGTCCTGGCCACTGCTCAGCTCCTGGTGCCGCTGGCAGGACGCGTCCCCACTCGTGCTGCCACCACCAGGCATTCAGTGAACGCTCACTCCCTGTACGACCTTTCAAGGAGGAACGAGGAGCACAGGACCTTCTCCAAAGTCTTACATGCAGTGCTGTGATGAAGCACCAGCCCCAGTATCCCACCCATCAGCATTTACAAAAGGCTAAACCAAGGCCCACCAAGCAACCCGGTCAGGGTCATCCCTAGGAAAAAGAAAGGTCCAAACAGCAAAGATGCGTTACCCAAAGGCAGGTACAGTCTCTCCCTACCTGCTCCAGTCTTAAACTGCACGGGGCTGTGCCAGGAGCCCACCTTTGGGCCGTTCTGGTGGCACAGGGAAGCAGCGCAGATCCCTGATGTGTTGTTTTACCCACCCCTCACTAGAGGTCATTGCATGCTGTGCCTTCAGCTTTGATGTCTCAGTGAGCTACACGCAGACTAAGGGCAGGCAGCTGAAATGACCACGGGCTCGGCTAGCCCTGCGTGCAGGGAAAAGCAACACCCACAGGTCCTGAGGCTCTTTAACCTTTTTCTTTTACAAAAGCCTCCGGATGGCACCACGTAAGGCAGCAGCTACACAACCAGCCTCGTTCCCCCTCAGTGACAGAGCGCAGAAGCAGATGCCCAGGTAGAAGAGGGCGAGCTCACCAAACACAGCCTGTTCCTGCTGCCCCAACAGGCTGCCAGCTGGCACCTGAGGCTGCTGCTGTGCTCGCAGAGGGCATCAGGCTCCGTGCTGCTGGTAGCTGTTTCCTTCTGCACAGCATCACGAAGCAGCATTTCCAGTCTAATGCATTAAATGGGTTAGCAGCCTTTTCTCCTTGTCACAAGAGCATCTGATGAAGCAAATCCCTGCTGCACACCCAGCCTTCTCAAGCATGTTGTCGTCCTTCCCCTGCTCAGATCCAGACACCCACTGTCAGAGAGCCTACAGAGCAGCGCTTGGCACAGGATAAAAACCAACTTGGTTTGTCAAAACAGAATAAAAAATAGCTGCTCGCTGTTCCCACAAAACACCCCCTCTCTCCTCCAAAAACAAGTCCTCCTCTTGCCTACTCTGTCTCCAGAGTGTGACCGTGGCCAGGCCAGGAACAGCCAGCTCCCGATCCACGAAGCTGTGGGGAGAGCCACCTCCCCTGAGGACAGAAGCGAAAACCCCATGGGAGTTATTTCAAAGAAATCCCAGGGGAGGCCAGTCAGCATGACAGAGATCCTGCAGCCGTGCCTGCGTCGCTGCAGCAGGTCTGCCCAGCTCTCCTTTGTGCTACGCCGAAGGCTGCTTCATGCTCTGAAGCCAGAAAGTAAAATTCCAGGCGGTCTTTGCTGGGCCTGGTGCCACGCGGCAGAGCAGGAACATATGGCTCTTGGTTTTACCACTCAGCCTGCAAGGACGGAGGTTGTGGAAAACAAAAAACTTTCCACCCTCCCACACGGTTCTGTGACTTTGCTCCTTTCAGACATGGGCCTGAGATGTTCTGGTTCTGCTGGGGCAAACAGCGAACGTGGAGCCTCGCCTGTCTGAGGCCAGGTCCCTGTATGGCACGAAGCCATCACAGAACTGGCACTGAACAGGGATGTGACACTAAAAAAACAACCAAGGTACAGCAAGAGTGATCCTGTGGATGTTGGAGGCAAACACGGAGCTGAACAGTACCTGCCGGTAAAGAAACGATTTGCTCCTGAACTTCAACTCCCAGAACTCCAGTCCCCTGAAGGAAGAAACAAAAACAAGCCTTTAAAATCACATCTCAGACGTGAGACCTTCTCACGAGAAAAGTACAAACCGCAGCGGAATGCAAGCGAGCAGAGTGAGCAAGAAGCTGAGATCTTCCAGGGCTGCTTCAAAGATCAGGAACCTGCGAAACCACCCGTGGGCAGCTTCCTTTGCAAAATTCACCTGCAGAACCAAGCTGAAATTGCAAGCAGCCAGCAACTCGATGCACAACTCGTCCAACCCCACTGCTGCTGTGCTTCTCTGCTGGGGACGACTGCGTAGGGCAGCTATGGCTGAAATGGGGAAAAAATAAATCATTGTTCTGTAAGGGAGAAGTAACAATAGTGAGAAATAAAGGAGGCAGAAACCTTTGTCAGAGAGGGAACAATGCAAGCGGATGAGAAAAGCAGATTTGCTGTCCCGAGGGTGAAGAGGGCCACGTGAAGCAGGCGCTGCAGGAAGCCAGGGGCAGTCATTCATTTCCTCAGGCTTGCTCCTGCCCTGCTGGGACGGCCAGGAGTCAGCTGCTGTAGGCAAAGCTGCCCGCCAGGGACATCCCACCGCATACCCCAAGGCGGGCAGGATGACCCCATGGCCCCAACACCCCAAAACTTCAAGTCCCAACAGCCCTGCCTGTGGCAGAGGCCTGACTTTGCTCAACGCTGTGTGGGGAGAGAAGGTTTGACAGAAGCACGGCAACATACTCAGGCCCCCGGATGCTCTGGGCACAAATCACATTTTCCTCACCCGAGTTTCAAGCGTTTAAAAGGGGAGTTTAAGAGCAGCAAGTGATGGCTTAGTGCCACCGCTAAGCTGCACCCAAGCTCCCCGCGATAACAAAATAATCAGTTTAAACTAACAGGATTTGGAACAAAAGGCAGTTATCGATAAGAACACCTCCAGGATGGAAAAGGAGATTAAGGAGCAACAATTCAGCTACAAATCCGAAGCCTTCAGATGAAGGAGAAATTGGTAAGCGCGACTTCTGCTCCAGTATTTGAAGGCCCATCCTGCCAGACTGGCTGCTGCAAAACACCTCCCTGCGAGGACCCTCCCAAGGCCAACTAGCCCAACGCTTCACTGATGTTTCTTTCCTTCACATACACACAAAAAAATCTGATACAGGCATTAGGCACCACGTAGGAACTTCCCCACACTCCGATGTACCAACGGAGCCCCAAAACGAGCAGGTTTGGGCTTCAGAAGCTGCTCTCCCAATCTTCTACGCTATCAAGCAATACCAGGAGCCACTTGGATCAAAGTACAATAAAATGACAACAAAAGCTAAATTAGCTAACAGTTTTTAAGCCCTCCTCATATCCCACAGCACTCCTAAAATAAAAAGAGACAAGTTTACCTTGTGTACCCTAGAACAGCAGCCACCTACATGCAAGGTCTCTCCTCTCCTCCTGCACCACGGGGCTGCAAAATTGGGCACAGCTGTGGGGAGGGCACAGCCATACGGTATTTGCCTGGGGGGGTCCCAAGGACAGGCTGGGCTTACCAGGGACACCCGGGCATCATGGGCTGCCCGTGGCCTGGGAGGGGAGAGAGCTCTGGGAAGGGCAGGAGGAGGATGAAGCGGGGACAACGGGATGGGAGGCTGTCGGAGCGGGGCTGGCAGGAAGAGAAATCCTGAAATTGTCACCGTAGGGAGCGGCCAGGAGCTGTTTTTTCAGGATTCACAGATAAATCGCTGCTTTTCGCCCTCCCTGCTGTGTGTGTTGGCAAATGCAAAGGCGGCTTCTGCCCCCGGCTCCCTCTGTACGTCGGGGAATGACAATGCTCTGTCACCTCCGTGCGGTTTGCTCTCCCTCCAGCACGATGTATGTGGCACACGGACACGTGCGGCGCGAGGCACGTGCACACAGACCCAGCACGTGGAGGTCACGGTGCTGCTCTGCCCCAGCAAGGCACAAGAGGCAGGTTTTTTTCCAAAGAGGGGCAAAGCCCCCCTCCAAACGGCACCCACGGCCTCTAGCCAGGGTTCTCCTCACGTGGTGGCCTTGACAGGACACACCAAGCTGTGAGAGGCAGCTCGAGATACTCAGGAAAAACACCACGGAGGCTTTGAAAGAGAACAAGGGGGTTTTCTTTAGGAGGGAAACTTTCTTTTCCTTGTCAATCTGGCTGATAATTTTGCTTACCAGCCAAACCTCGGGCTGCCTTTTCCACTTGGCAGCAGAAGGCAGCACCTTGCCATGAATAATGCATGCTCAGCTCGGGAACAGGTGACAGCAGTCACTGCCCAGGAACGGGGCTAAGGCTCCCAGCACATCCTTAGCATTCAGAGGCATTCTGTAGGGCAGGAACAGCGACTCCACTTCCACTGTTGCTGAGCAACTGAGTTTGACGGAAGGAATCGTTTGAACAGTCAGCCTTTTAGGCGGACAAGCGCTCAATTCAGAAGATTGGGTGAAGTTCAGAAAGGAAGGGAAGAATGGCAATGAAAAGCTGCATTATTTCGCTAAGAGACCGTGGTTTATCAGTGCTGCGGATTCTCCCCTCCGAAGCAGAAAATAAAGCTCCTCAGATTAGGCTTTGAAAAAAAATCTATTTATAAGCTTTTAATGCTATCAGAGCCTTTCACTGCGGGGATGGCTCATGCTGCTCCTGCAGGGAGAAATACACACGCACCTCGGGCACGTTTGCTGTCTTATTTGCAGAGGTGGGCAGAGAAACTCCAAGCTCCACGGCTGCAACTGTCCCCCCAGGGAGTGTTTTACAGATCAGAAGGAACTGGGATGCTGTAAAAAACCCCAACCCAACCAAAACCACCCACCCAGCCTGCCGCAAACACGCTGACCCCAGAGCATTTTTCTCGAGGTCAGAAAACTGGTTTATATTGTTTAATACCTCCTTTATAACGCTTTGTTAATTAAGTGCTACTTAAACACGTTGAAATGAGGCTTCTCGAAGCCACCCTCGTCAGCCTAAACATTCATTAAATCAATCAATATCGACACTTTTATAAAAATGCCCTGTTACAAAACACAAGCTCGGCTGCGTGTGTCACCAAGCAAAAATATCCTATCAGCAACAGCTTTGCTGCTTTTCAACCAATTTTTAGGGTTGCTTTCTCTCTCGTGAGTTGTTTTTGGCCTTGTGTGGGATGGATTTCTGCAGCAAGTTATGCAAGGAGTGGCAAATTCATTTTTTTACATGAAAGTTGAAGGCATAAAAAAGGTGATCTGAGCCGAATCTCATTGACTGGCCAATTGACAACAGCAGGTCGGGATTGGGGAGGTAACCTGGCCCTTACGCAATCACAGGTGGCCTTGGTGAGACTTAACGACTTATTTTACTTAATACTCACCTTGTTTTCTCTGCCACTCACACTGCTCCTCGTCACAAGGGACAAGATGAGCCTGGGGGTGAAGCCCTGGGCTGCTACTCGTGCCCCTAGGTATGACCACCCCAGAGGGACTGGAGGCCACGTTCCCCATCCCGCAGTGGCAACCCAATACTGAGCAGCAGGAGCGCAGCCAGGTGACAGCCCCCATTTTCCCCTACTTTTTCTGCCTTCCCCTCCTTTTCCCCGGGACAGTGCTGCAAGGAGGCAGGAAGGAGCTGCTGCTGGCTGCCCGTGTGCCTGTCCAGCAGGGAGCACCAGCAGGAGCTGTACCCAACTGGGTGCCTCCTAACGCGGCTGTGTATTGAGAGCAGCACGGAGCAGGGAAAGCAGGGAGCAGACAAAATGCCTTTTTCTTCCTGACCCTGAATAGGGAGACTGGGAGGAACTGAAAGGCTCCGAGCATACAGCTCTCTCTGTTTTTTGCAGCTCCCTTTTGGGTTTTGTCCCACACTGCTGCTGGCAAAACACGCCAGTCGAAGACAAGAGCGGGCTATTTGCAAACTGCAGCGAGGCCCAGCTGAAGCTTGAAGCATGGCACTCACTGTTGCAGCCGGCTCAGGAGGTATTCAAATTTACCGGAGGGAAAACTATGAAGAAAAGGGTTTTCTACTCAGAAACAAGGAAAACGTGGTTTGGAGACAGACAATAGCAACTTTTGCTCTCGAGCTGAAGCACAACGGCCACGCTTCTCCGAAAGAAAGAGGCATGAAAGCAGGGGCCATGCTCAGATGCTAAGTACCCGTGATCTTCCTGGGAAAAAAACTTCAGTTTCTGCTAGGGAGAGAGAGAATACATGCAGCCACTTCATTTCAATACTTGCAAGACCTGGTCCTGAAAGAACCTGACACGCAACAATCTGTTGTTTATGTATTGACCGAGAAATATTGGTTTTCCTTCATCAACATCCCCTGGGAAGGAGGCAGGAGCTGCTGGTGTGAACTGCGTGGACCTGCAGAGCTACAGCTGTGACCTAGGTGTTAGGTGGTGTTTTTTTTTTTCCTCCTATTTGCAGCCTGTAGGCAAAGCTAGGATAGAAACAGGAAAAAAATAATCCTGTCCCCTGGCTGGGCTGGCTTTTAGCAACCAAAACGAGTGTAAATGCTGGAAGCACCTCATAGGATTGCTCCGTGCCCGGCTCTGTACATCAGTTTACAACATCCTGCCTTCCTGCACAAACAACTGGCCCAGCTCCCCCACCCTCAGCCCTGTTCAGCTTTCTCCATGAGGACGTTGGGCAGGAGAGGGAAAGAAATGTCCTTTCCATACCGTCACCAGGCAGAGCCCTGCTGACACCACCCAGTGCTGGGAAGGCGATGCAGGAGGAGGAGGAGGTCAGTTCTCAACACAAAGCTGGAAAGCAGCTTTTGGGACAAAGCAAGCACCAGCTGGTCAGAGCAATCCCCCAGCCAGGGGCCCTGTTCTCACCTGGATTCATAGTGGTGAGCCAGGAAACCAGAAGAGGGTTGGATTTCTGCCTGGAGGATGGTTCTGATCGGAGACTGAAAGGGTGTTTCAGAGTTCAGCGAGCGAAAAGTGCTGAAGTCGTGGGTTCCCAGCAGGAACCGTGCTGCATCCTGCATGGCAGGCACATCCAGGTAGCTGAAATTAAACATGCAGAGCAAAGAGAGAGGAGCGTTAAGTGGGACCAAGTACGTTGTGTGCGTCAAAGTCTAATTAATTGATGAGAGGCTCAAACCTAGCATGCAGATTTAACGTTGCAGAACTGAGGAAAGACATTTTGCAAGAGGAGTTTCTCCAGGAACAGCCCAAACCACAAAGCAAGATGCCAAATGACTGGAGGTCTGATGGTGTTCAAAAAAACCCCAGGCTAGGTCAGGGGCTGGCAGGCACAGACTTCTTCACAAACCTTTATCCTGCTGTGCTGCAGGATCTTAACTTAATTCAATAACAACTGAATTAAAAATAGCTCTGTCCAAGCTGTTGGCTAAAGTGGAGGACAAGAGAACCAAAATCCTTTGCAGTATCTTACAAATTCAAAAAGAAGGTGGCAGGTAAGAGAGTGTCTAACACTGTGATGGTTTTCCAAACCTTTGAAAAGATGAAATTAGGAAATAACAGGAACGGAATGGGTGTGCAAACTGGACATGAATGAAACCAGAATGTTGTGAAAAAGTCCAGTTTTCTTGAACTTTTATTTGTCTCAGTACAACCTCATCTAAAAGACAATTACTAATTTTCTTCTGGGGTTTGTTTGTTATTTCCTTGCCCGCTGTTTATCGTGTCCTAAGTGTTTTTAAATGGCACTGAACTTGTTTTTCTTCCCTTCCATATACAAGCCCTAATTTGTTATGACTCAGTGGCTACTCCACGAGTGCTGAGCCAGACACACCGGTTTGTTATCGTAGGGCTGCTCAGAGTCATGGGCTCTCACTTACTATTCAAACATACAAGCACCCAGATTGGGAAGGAGAAAGCTGGCCTACATGCAGCCATCACCAGGAGCAGGCCAAGAATTAGAAAAAAAAACACAAAAAGAGCTCTGAGTCCCAGGTCTCACCACACATAATTCAGTGCAGTTCCACTGATTTCAACAGAGAATCCTTTCCAGTGTGACCTGGGGGTCTGGTCTTACACGTGGACATCACCTCCTCCCCAAATGCTGGGGTAGCTGCTTGGGGAGGGTTTCTGGAGCCACTTACCCCCCTGGAGGAGCCCAGCACAGGTCCCTTTCGAACACGGGTACTTCAGACCAGCGGGTGCAGCCCAGCAGCAGCCGGTAGATGTAGGTTCTTGACAGCGCCGAAAAGCGTGCGTGGAAGTCACTGGTCACTCGGTAGGCACTCAAAATGCTGGTGGAAAAGAGAATGGGATGGACAGAAACGTCATGCACCGATGCACAAACTTGTGCTGGTCTCCACGTGTATGGAATTAAGACATGCAATGGATGCTTTGAGGAACTGCACTTACAAGACATCAAATATCACAGAGCTGACTGCTACCCAAGTGCAAGCGGAGGCTGCCCCAGGTGTCTGCCAACACCGTGCCCTTCTAACATACCCCAACAGCTCCTGAAATAAATGCTGGCACGCTGTGGGAGTCGTCTTTGCAGGAGACGCTGCTGCTGTTGGAAACCCCCACGCTTCCTAGCGATCTCACCGGTGTGACTCCGAGCATCCTGGCCTGAATTTCCAGCCAATAATCGAGTTCAGCTGCCAACACTTTTTCCCTTCAGCTGAATGTCACGTTTGGGTTCCTGTTCTCGGGGATGGCACGGCGAGGGGGCTGCGTTGTTCCCACACCGTTAGGTGCTGAAGGCACACGTGTGTGTGCTGGCTCTTTGCAGCATTCATCTGCGTGCACGAATGTGAATCACTCGGGGGAAAGTTCTCCAAAAGCAAACAAGCAGGGCAACGGTTGAGGTTTCCCAAGATCCTGGGGATGAAATCTCTCTCACATATGGAGGATATTACGCTGTGCTACACCACGACCACAGCAGGTCGGGAGCCTTTCAGTGGCTGTTCCAAATGTCAAGTGTGTATTTCACAAGAACCCCTACCAATTTTTCGGTATCCCCACTACGCTAGAAGAACAAAGAAAATCGTAATTAATCCTCTTTGCACCAAAGCAGCTGTGGAAATCATTCCCTTTGGACTTTTCATCCCCTACCTTCCCTACCAGGCCAACCAAAACAGAAGCAGAGTGCCGGTCTCCTTAAAGCCCTGGATGAAAACATCTCCGTGCCTGTGGCCCTCACCCAGCCGTGCTCAAACCTAACATTTTTTCAAAGATTTGACTGCCTTAATGCACAGCCATAAAGGGAATTTGCTACTCCGAATCTGACAGGCGAAGAAATGCTTCTTCTCTCCCTGCTCTAGGCTGGCAAGCTAGGAACTAATTAATGCAGCATCGTTCCCAAGCTGCTGAGCTCTTCCAGACCTCTTCGCTTGGCTCAGAACTGCCCTAGTGCAGCTGTGAAGCACTGACTCAAAGGACAGGCAGTGTGTTTGTGCCTGCCTTCAAAAGGCTGCTTACCATAACAGTAATATTTCCAAAGCCCTCTGAGTCTAGCCCTCAAGTCTCCAGGACAGCATCCACTTAGCTGGAAGAGAAGCTTTGTAGATGATAAAACCAGATGTCCCAGCCACAGCTACCACCGAGAAATGTCTCTTCCCTCTCCAAAATTGCTTCCTTTCAGCTAAATGTCTCCCTCTGACCTTCCTGCCTCTTTCTGCCCTGGCACACGTGGAGTTCCCAGCAGCCTTGTCCCATGCAAGAGGCATTTTAACACACACTCCCTCGGCATTTCAGCATTCATTGATAGTCCTCTGGCTCACAAACCATTATCCATTCAAGGAAAACTGGGGAGAGCTGAGATCACCTGAGCTGTATTCCATCCAGATGCTTCAGCATCTTCCTGGGGGCAAAAAAACAGCGCATACTTAGAGCACATTTCAACCCTGGTTTTGCTAGAGAGAGAGGTAGAAGAAAGTCAAAAGGTTTTCAGCTTTTCTTTGTGACAAGGATGTTCGCGCCCTGAGAGGTGAGAGCAAACAGCCACCTTCCTGTTTTGCTTGTCAAACCCATCGCAAAAGCACATCAAGGGACATCGGGCTGGAACCACTTCTACTGGCAGCTGATCCAGTCCTATAAGATACATGGATAAGAGGAGGTGTGAAGTCAAGCAGCCTTAATGAGCCCATAAGAGAGAACTTACAGCCCAGGTACTCTTTTTTTTCTCACTAATGAATCCCTTTCTTGGGCCAAGTGGCTGTCTGCAAACACTGAAACACAATCGGACACCCTGGGGATACCCACGAGCAGGGCTGGCATCGCTCTCGTGGTGCACAACACCCGGATGGGCAGGACTTGGACGGCACTAAAACCCCAAAAACAGCCATCAGGGAGTGACCCCTCACAAGGATAAAGCCCAAGCCTTTTGCAGAGCCCTGGCCCCCCACACAAGCAGGAAGGACACCCCAACAGCAGATACCTGCACGCCCAAAGCAGCACCCTCTGTGCTCCCTCTTAAGGCAGCTTCACCGCTCACTGTAGCAGATGGAAATAGTTGAAAGTAGGTCACTTCCCTCCTGCCTCCCCCCCCACAACCTCCAAGACAAGCAGGACTTTGCTGCAGCAGCGAAAAGAAAGGAGCATCCCAGCACCAGCGAGCCTGCAAAGAGCAGGATGCTGCAGGCAGGAGAACTCCTGGGGACCCTCACATTTCACACGAGCAGAAGATGGCTTTGGGGAACGGTTCTGTCTGCTCGTCTTCCAGAGACCCTGGGCATTTAATCAAAGGAGCTTGCAAGGCTGCTGGACTCCTCTTTATAAGCAACTGGGAGAAATCACCTGGTTTCCCTAAGCCAACGCTGCTATTAGCATCGAACAGGGACATGCTTTAGACGATGCCCCTCGTGAGAAGGATTGCTGCTCTCCTGCCGTGTGCCCTCCTGATTTTGGAGCTGGCTCTATGGAGAAGAAGGGATCCAAAACAGAAAAAAAAAATAAAAATTGATACCATTTGGGAGCAAGCAGCAGACAAACCTATTTATTTGCTTTCAAAAGGCTGGGGCTTCAGGGATTTCTGCCAGCCTAAGTGCCTCTGGCTCATACCCCTTGACTGCAGAAGCTCAGGCCACAGAAGAAGAAATTAAAGCTGAGCTGCAGGCCTGCACACAGATTTGCAATAACAAGCCCAAAGACCTCTCCACTGCTATAAACTCCCAGAAGAAATGCAAACTACATCCTCCAGGCCCGTAATGGAGTTTGAACCTAGGACCTCCAGCCTCTTCTAAACACAGTAATATAATTAAGTATTCCATTTATTTTCCTCTGTCTACATGTCTCCACAAGCATTTCATCTCCCTTGAGCTTCTCGTGTTAACGCTTATGTGATTTTTATTAAATAAGCGCCCTTTTATACCCTCTGATAGAGTGCTTCCTTCAGAAAAACCCATTTATGCTCACATGATTCCTCACTGCAGGCATCCTCTCCTGACTCTCCCAGCAGATGCAGTTCCTACCATCGGCTCTTTCAAGCTAGGAGTGTTTTCCCAGTATTTATTCCACCCGTTCTTCAGGCATACCACGTTTCAGGCCTTGTTAACATCCCAATTTTTGCAAGGCTGCTGGTGAATAAACACTCTTAGCATTCTTCAGCTTTTTTGACAGAGCCTACATTGCAGAAGGGTCAGAAGGAAAAAAAAAAAAAACACAACCAAAGACGTCTCAGGAGAAACACCAACGTGTGAAATACAAAGGTGTCCTCCAGCAGGACATCCCTCCCTCTCCTCTGACAACAGAAGGTGAATGTCTCTTTGCAGGAGGTGGGAAGAATCCCAGCTCTGTCTTGCTGCCACCCAGACAGCTTTGATGGTGTACTTACAGAACTGGAACCAGAAATAGAAGGTGTGAATCTGCTGCTCTATCCTGCCCAGGTGATAGCAAATCCTCCTCAGGTCGCCCCACCTGCGGAACACGCTCTGATCTCTGTGGACAAGAGCCTTTCAGATATGCTGCACAGATCTAAAGGCAGATCAGCTGATAGAGGAGCCCCGTCTGCAGCAAGGCTACAAAGAAGGTCATTACTGCTGGCGATACAGCCAGCCGGCTTGGAATCTGGTTTCCCTTCCAAGCTCTATCGACAATAACGAGTTCTCACAAAGCCGTCTCTCTCCATCACCCCCTGCTTGCAACCACATAAAAGTGCTGAGCTTTCTCCCCAGCATTAGGAGAGAATTCTTCTTGGCAGAGTAATATTTACAGAGGGAGGGGCTGGCTGCTGCATGCACTTAAGACTCATGCCCGGCACCAAGCTCCTTAATGGAAAGCAGCTGAACGGTTTTGAAGAGGTTCAGCTCAAGGGAGGAGGGAGAAGTCAGAGCTGCCTGCACCCTGATAACCTCAGCCTGCCTACCTGACAGGGACTGGCCTGGATTTATCAGGAGACACCACCTCCTGGCACGTCCCTGCCAGGTGTTAGCTCTTCTTCCATCTGTGAGATCCCACCGCTGCCTCCTTCTGAAGATGCCAGCTAAAAAATTCTCTTCAGCTGCAACCCCACACACGTGCCACAGTCTGGTAGGACAAGAAGGTTCAAGGATGTGAAAAGCCACAAGCCTAAACTCAGGGGAGAGAGGCTGAGATTCTGCAGCTGGTGACACATGGCACAGACTATGGCAGTGGTAGCCTCTGGCTGGAAAATCAGCCAGCTTTGACTCCCAAACAACTGTTTGAGTGTTTTAAGGAAGGTAATCAGGACCTGTGACCTACTTCAGGTTCCTTCTTATTGCTAGGGCGTCCATAAAGTGTTCGGCTCCCAGGGTGTGCAAATGCTGACCTAGTTTTCAGTCTGAGCAAAAATAATACCCAAAACCTCACAGAAGTCAAATTCTATTTCAGAATCTTTTAATAGACGCTGCAGTCTGAAAAGAATTCATCTCCAGCTCTCCTACACAGCAGCTGCATTAAACTCTTTGTATATATGTCAAAGGTGAAAGCTGTCAAGGGATAGTACCTCCTAGGCATTATTTAAACATGCAACGTGGCTAGCGTGTGAGAGACTTGCTTGGCAATTCAGGCAAGTGAGAGGCCAGAACACAAATCTGTTTGTCTGAATGGATGGACAAACCACCAAAGTTGCAAAAAGGTGTTTACTCATCCCAACAAATGAGACACCTCCAAATGGGCAGTGTAGTTCACACACAGCCCTGTATTTTCTTTTGTACCATTTATGTTCCTTTGTATTCTGTCAAAATTTTCCTTTGTTGTGTTTTTTTTTTGTCCTCACAAAGCAAGGGAATCTAGCCGCTACTTCAAGAGGCCAGAGAAGTGACTAGATTTGTAGGTGTAGGACTGTCAAGTGGTGAGGTCCTTATGCTGCTCCCAAAACCCCTTCTGAAGGGGTTGGAGAGGAGCTGGAAGTATTCAGGGGAAAAGTTCGGTTAAA